ATCAAGAATGATACAGGGGCTTAAAAGGAGAATAGTCTTCATCAGAAGACATGGAAGATGAGAGGGAAAACTTGAAAAAGAAATGAGAACATAGAAGTGTTAAAACACTTAAGTGGGAGAGAGGTGCTAAAAAGGCATCTTGCTTAATTCAAACCTCCTTTGATTTATGTGGGATATCAGCTGAAAGGATAGTATCTATTAAATTAGTACTACCAATTAGCATTTTAAAAATAAATGAAACCAACAACACCAAGATCTTCTTCAGAAAGTTGCAATTGGAAAGGACTGGATCTGAACCTGGTGACAGACTTCTTGGCGTACTTGCTTTCTTCAGTGATTGTGCTCTATTTTTTTTCTTGCTGACCTCCTGTGCTTCTCCTGTTTATTTTTGTCAGACATGTCACAAACAACAGTATTTTTCAGATTTATGAACTTGCTGCTGCTATTTAATAGGCCTTAAATTTGACAGACCAGGTCTATAAATTTACACACAGAAATATTCATTTTGTATATATTTATACTCAATATCACATCCTAAATTGGTCCTATTCACTAGCATCAAAGTATATTTAAAGTACTGACTGACAAGACTTAGGCAAAAATAGACTAAGCTATTTAAAACTAAGTTAGTTCTATGACTTTAGCGTTTTCTACATGTGGTAATGTTAAACGATTTTCATCTCTTCTTCTCTCCTGGACAACCAAACACCCTATGACTTTAGTGTTTTCTACATGTGGTAATGTTAAACAATTTTCATCTCTTCTTCTCTCCTGGACAACCAAACACCTTGTTGTCACTTACCACCTCCCCATTTCCTGTGCTTGGGAACTAGAGTTTTGATTCATAACTATGCACTGATGAGATGGAGTGTGCAAAAAACTTTCTGTAGTGGCCTTCCTCAAAATGCTATTCTTTTTAAAATAGCGTGTGCTCACCAATCTGAGACAGATGGAAAGCTTTAACTCCCTTAATGCCACGCTTGTGCTTCTAGCATGTGACAGTAACGAGGCATATATGTTATGTATTATAAAGCATTAAGGACATCCTTGCAGCATAGATCCTCTGCTTGGAACTATACTATGACTGGAAAAAAATAGTTATTTGAAGATTGTCAAGACAAAGACTTATATTCTCAGGGGTTTATAGGGCTACATTTGCTGACTTGTCTAGATTTTAAACCTATTGTTGTTGCAGTGGAAGTGTTCTGTTTTATATATGTCCACATGAAAATAGTGTTAACTGGTCAGCTAATTTAACTCTAATGACTACTTTGAAAATTGGCAGTTTGTGTGTGTGTGCACATGTTGCTGAGACGGAGGGAAGCTTTCCAGTTGACGCCTACAATAACTGATTTTTTTTTTATTACAAGTGGTAGAATAAGATCTTTGACTGGAATAAATTATACCAGAAATGTTGATCTAATCTCTGTCTGCAAATCGTTTTTTTCAGATGGGAGGAGGAACTGGCAAAGCGAATGAGTCTGGAGTCTACGGTAGAAACCCTTCAAGAGGTGGGTTATGAGTGGGATTTGGACTTTCCTAGTACTGTTGCTCTCTCCCCCCCCTCCCCGATTCCTCCAACTCTTGAGCTAAAATATTTGTATAGTGTAGGTTTTCCCCCTTTAATCTGATCATTTAAAAGTAATACTTTGACTGGATTAATTAATCCTGTAGTTATGGCATCTGAATTATATCCTCTGGATAAAGCTGTTAATATTTGAAACCTTAGGTTGCTTGATACTCAATTTTGTGAGTGAAACAAGAGGAATGTCTCTATTCACCTAGTTCAATCTGCAAGCAATGCATCTTTTTTTCTTTAGCATATACAAGAAATGGGATGTAAATCATGTATTAGTTGTTTGTGGATGGCAGTCTCTAAATTAATGACGGTAAAAGGGTACTTGTTTGGAGTGTTCAGCTGCAATAGCCCAAACCATTAGCCTCTATCTAATCATTATGAGAACCCTTTTAACAGAACAAAACCAGCCCTTGCAATTTTTTTCTCTTAACATTGTAAGTATCTAGTGTTCAGATTTGAAGTAGGGGAAAATATGCAGCTATGACCCAAATTTTGGACCATATTCCATTTAAATATTCTCCTCTTCTTCACTCCCATTATACTCTTGGCTGAGCAGCAAGGTAGCCAGTCTTGAAACTCACTCATGCTCCCCCCCCTCCCCCCGCCACTTGCATTTTTGTAGCAGTGGGGCTAATGAGGTTGGTACAGGTAGACTCGAGCCAATATTCCATACCAGCTCTTTTCCATATTTGTGAAACTTTGTAGCTAAGTAAATGCTTCCACTTATATTGCTCTTCACTGACACTCTCTCTCTCTCTCTCTCTCTGTCTCTCTGTCTCTCTCTCTCTCTCTCTCTCTCTCTCTCTCATATAGAATGCTCAAGAAGCTGAAGCTCTCCAGGAAGAGTTACATGAAAAGATTGAGCGGCTGAAAGCAGAGCTTGTTGTCTTTAAGGGTCTGATGAGTGATGTAAGTACCCTGGGAAATAGTGGCCTATTCCCACCTGCTTTTGTGAAATCTATTCCTGTCATGCAAATGGCTTCATTCATAAAAAGGTTATGGTCTTAATGAGTGCTGCTTTGTAGTTAGTATTATGGCTGCCGTTATGATCTAATGCATCAGACAGATCACCCTCCCCCTGCTTCCTGTCTGGTCTGTGTAGAGATGCATTAACTTGCTGCTTAGCCCATAACCCTGACTTCCCATTCCCTTTTCACCAGCTAGCAATAATGGCATACAAACTTGCAGCCACATGCTATTAGGGTAAAAGTTCAGCCGTTATGCAGCCATCGGTACTCTTATTATACAGATGGATTTTGATTATAGGTATACAAGCAGTTCTTATAAAAAAGGAAATCTAAAATGGCTCTCCCAATTCTACCTTTGCGAAAGGTTCTTAGAGAGACTATCTCAGTTTCTGTGTCATTGGATATGGATTTGTCTGCAGTGCTGCTGTCACCTTTTAGAAAACTTTTATAAACTGTGTATATCTCTGGGTTTCTACCATAGTTCTCTGAGTCTATAATTTCTCCCAAAGATGGGGTGGGGGTGGGGGGGGGGCGCACATGGTAGTTCTGAGAACTTCACTTCAGTTAGACAATATGCTATGACTATAATCAATCAATGTGTAGGAGTACTATTGAAATATAGGTGAGTGGAAAATGTGCAAGATGAAAGAGCAGGATTTTAAAGTACACTTGGCTTCTCTTGAGTAGTGAATGCCAGCGGTGTAGCTATGATTATTCATGATGCATATCCATTTGTAATTTTATAAGAATTTTCTTGGTCTGATGCTAACTTGCGGAACCTGCTACCTGAAGTCCCATCCATTTTCTCAGGGCTGCTAGGTCTACTCTTATAAAATTCAGCAATTCGCTGACCACCTCTTTGGATGGTTCATTAAGAAAAGAAATATTTGCTGGATTAAATACAGTCTGAAGGAGAGCAATTTAGAGAGACAAGATGGGTGAGGTAAAATCTTTTATTGACTCATCTTCTGTTGATTGAAGAGACAAGTTTACTTAGAGCTCTTCCAGTATGGGAAAGGTAGTCAGTGTGAACTATTTGTTAGAGCCGTATCTGTCACACATAATAGAAAATTAGAGTGGATAGAGGGAGGTAGTGCTTCCTCCAGCCTGTTTGATCTCTGCAAATTAGATGTAAATAGAGTGGTAGAGAAGGCCACAAAGCTGTTGGGGCAAGTGGTAACTGTTTTTATATAACTGAAGACCCAAAAAAGCCTAATTAAATGACTTGCAAAAGGTTTATTTAATCTGTTGAAAAACAGAATGACAAACATTTTGATAGACCATTTAGCTAAATGTTTTCATTTTTGTGTAGACATTTTTCTGAACCCAAACTTTGATTTAACAATTCCCCAACCTTCCCTATTCTATTTTTATACTTTGTGTGTGTGTGGGGGGGGGGGGAGGAATTGCTAAGTAAATCAGAAAGGTTTTATTTGTAAACATATTTCCTCTTGGAAAGTAGTGCTTACAGCAGGGGTGCAGAACGTTTTGGCTCAGGGGTTACTGACCCACAGAAAAATCCTCCTGGATATGGCCCCCGTCTGATAATTAGGAGAATAAGATATGAAAAATGCAACTGGTGGCAGCAGGGCTCCGCTCCTCCTCCAATCCCATGGGGGTCCAAGGCTCATGGCTTCCCTCCAGGCTCTAGGGCTCTTCTGGGGGCCCGGGACTAGTGGATTTTGTGGGGGCCCCCAGGGACTACAATGTGGCCAAAAAGGAGGGGTTGTAGTGTGGGGAGGAGGGAGGGTGCGGGATCAGGCTGGGGTTGGAGGATTTGGACAAGAGAAGGTGCAGAAAGGAGGCAGAGGATGGTGGTGCCTACCTGGCAATCACTTTTCTCCCCCCAATCCTGCAGAGCTTCCCTGCGCTGCAGTTCCCGGCACAGCACTGTTTCCTTCCTGCAAGCTGGATGCCAATCACTGCTTGTCTGGATCTGGCTTGAGAGGCTCAGAGCTCTCACCTCCATTCCCATGTAGCAGGGAGTCGGCACTGGAGCTCTAGCCACACAACCCCCCCGTGTGCTGGTTCAGTCCACCACAGGAATGGAGGCAGGGCAAGCCAAGCCTTACGGGCCAGAACCAGACAGGCCATAGGTTTCCCCACTCGTGGCTTATAGGGTAATACACATCTCTCAGTATTTTCTCAAATATTATGCAAAAGCAAGCTATGATTTGCATTCGGGCGAGTTCTGTATCCCAGAAACTCTACTGTTGTAAATGGAGAGCATCTCGCAGTCATGCAGCAACATTGCCTATGGGGGAGAAGGAGAAGCTACATAATATAAATAAATGTCCATCTAATCAAGGGCGCTGTTTCAGGAGAGCAGGGTGGGCAGCAGCCATGCATACTGGGACATGGCTTGCTTTTCTTCCTGTTCCCCTGAAGATAAGGGAGCGAGGGGAAAGTACTTGGATTCTGTAAATTACTCCTCTGCCTCCTCCCTTCACTAGTCAGGAGTGAGAGGCATGTACAGAATCCAAGTACTTTCCCCTCACTCCCTTATCAGGGGAACAGAAAGAAAAGAAAGCCGTGTCATAGTAAACTTGGCTGCTGGTCCTCCCTGCTCTCCCGACATGGTGCCCTTGTGTCTGATGTGCAGCATGATGTGATGCAGTGGCATACAGTTCTCTACTGGGACAGAAGACAGATTCATGAGGGTATATCTTTTGCTCTGTATCAAACTCACATGAACTTCTATACATCTAGTCCTGTTCTAACTTTTTTTGTGATAGACGTTGAAGTTGGTGCACAATTTTTTCAGCGCAGAATCTGACTAAATTTTCTTTAAAATGAAAAGCTAATTTCCTATCTGAAATGGGTAAAAGTGAAGTATCAAATCCCACACCTTGTTCTTAAACATGTTTCAGATTTTCCCCCATTGTAAACCTTCACTGAGTCCATAAAAGTTGACTTTTGCTGGGTCTCTAGGAATCTTTGCTGTGGGACTGAATATCTCAGTAGCTAGTGTTCATTCTTACATTTGCATTTATTGGAATCAGATTTGAAAGTGTTAATTCCAGTAGTGTCTAATCTAGACTGTCCTTGTGCTGCCTTTCCCTGGGGAACAGGCTCAGTGTGGTGTAAGAAAGATGTGCTCTGGGTTTATAGAGATACTGTGGGTATCTCTTCTCTCCTAAACTGTATAAAAATAGAAGATAATCCACTACTGTCCTTCCTGCAGCCCATGACAGATCTGGACACAAAGATCCAAGAAAAGGCCATGAAGGTGGACATGGACATCTGCCGGCGAATCGATATTACAGCTAAGCTGTGCGATGTAGCACAGCAGCGCAACTCTGAAGACGTTTCCAAGATATTCCAGGTGATTAGGCCCTGAATTTTCTCTAGGGCAGGACAAGATGGCAGTGGGAGGGGGGAGAGAAGAGGGAATGTTGGGGAGTTTGGGCCAGGCTCAAACTTCATCCAACTTTCTCAAATTCTTTTGAAATTTCTCTCCAATAGACTTCTTTTCGTTCTAAATCTGTTTCCAATTGCAGCAATGATCCACATACTCTGCTGAAGTATTAAGACTTCAGAGTTTATAGGAAGTCTTCAGAATGCCCCTTGAAAAATACTATTAAAGCTTGGTGTGATAGTTTACAAGTAACTAGAGAAAAAACATCCTGAGATTCCATGTTTGTCTCCATCAGATTTGCTCTCTTCACAAGTAAAATGATTTTAACTTCATGCACTGCACTTGCATCCTGCAGTCTCCAAGTTAAGTTCTTTATTTTTAGCTCATACATTGATGAAAAATAAACACATTCTGGGACTGATGGTTAGTCAATGACACTTTGATATGTGAGGGAGAATCAGGCCCGGTCCTAGGGCAAGGCGAGCAAGGCAAATGCATTCACTATCCATTGGCCAGGCCTGGGGCCCCACTCTAAGTATTCTGCCTTGGGACCTGCAAACCCTTTGGCCGGGCCTAGTGAGAATAGAATACCATTTTCTTTCCCATAGCTGCATTGGCTCTGCAGTACTAATGGGAAAAATGGTAACTTATTTTGCTTCAGAAGTGAGCAGCTATAACTCAGAATACACGCACGCGAGCTATTAAGCAAGCAAGTGCCTTTAGCATAGTCACTTTTTTAATCATTGGCCCTTCCAACTTGCCTCAACTTCCCTTTCTGTCTTCTGACTTTTGTGCAGCCCTTAGTGTCTACTTAACAAACATACGCTTCAAAAAGGGAAAAAAAAGTCCTTGTCCTTCTCTTGAGCCTTCCACGTGGATATGTCTTAAGTGTGATGACTTTCATTCCAAATCAACTTTTAAATGTCTTATAAAATGCTTAGCTAAGGTAAACATGAGTTTTTGTTACATTTTTTTAAGTAATCGGGACAGAAATTGATTCGAAGTACCTATTTGATAGTGGAAAAAACTTTCAGCTCCCCTGTATACAGCAGCATTCCTTTTTTCTAAAGAGATCTTGTCTTAACTTTGATAAGTGGTAAAACGGTGCTATTGCTCTAAAATTTTGACAGTTTTGATCAAGTATACAGTGGTTAAAATCATCAGCACAAAGAGCAACGCCAGTATCAGATCTGTATGGTTTATAGTTAGCAAAGTAGTGAAAATTAAAGAGGAGATTTGGCATTTGTGTGCTTTTAGAAATGTGTTTAGACTACTGCACAAACGTTCATGAGTATTTAAGATGATGTAATGAAGATCAACAGAACAAAAGAGTGATCCTTCACTTCCCAGGGGTAGCTTTTCATTATCTTTGCACATCTATTTGCAAATCTGTCCAAGTACTTTCACAGTTCAATTCTTGCTTATCTCTTGTATTGTCAAACTGATGACTAGCCATCTGTGACAGTGGGGGTGAGAGTGGCAAAGGAATCTAGATTACCTTTTAAAGAGTGTTGTGTATTTTCTGTGAGTGTTCAGCTCTGAAAGCATCAGGCTTATGATGGTAGTGGCAAGAGAGGGAGAGTACTGTCATTGCTCTCAAGCCTGCCGCCTGGGCATTTTTGCCAGCTTATGCGTGGTCCCTGTATTGTTCTAGCCTTCGCATGCTCTTCTGTAGTCCTGATAATGTCAGTACACGCTATGTGTAGAGCTCTGGCAGTCTGCAGCTTGCTTTGCTCTGTGCTGTTTTTTAACTGCTTGCTTTTGTTCTATGTTCACCACTTGTTAATAGATCTGATTCCTGTCCTTAATGGGTGCAGTCACTCATGTACCTGAATGACTGAGAACTGATGAACCGTTATCTTTCACTCAACCTAACACTTTTCCTTTCTTATCTCTGCACCCTTTGGCACAGTACCTAAGTTGAACCTTCTAGTCACTGCTCTTCTCTCTAATTAAGGTGGCTTCCAAAAAGAAAGAACGCAAGCTAACATCTGATGACGACCTTTCTGAGCAGGATGGAGACAACAGCAGGCTTTCTGATGATGAAGTCAGCTGTTCTTTGAACATCACAGATGAAATGAAGCGAATGTTTAACCAGCTGTAAGTATTCTGGAGAGTAGGATATCTTTAATGTGGGATTTTCAGGTCAACTGAGGCCCCAAATTTAGATTTGTTGTTACACTCCAAGACCCCAGAATGCTTCCTCTAATTTTCTAAACAGCCAGTAAAAATAGTTTTTCACCAAATATTCAACATTAGTTGAACTGCAGAAGTTGAAGTGCATAAGACTCATAGTGAAATTTAGATATTAACAAAAATGGAACTGAACAGTTTATTTTCCCTGTCCACATGCTGTAGAATACAGAAAGCAAGCAGCAGTAAATAGTGAAATTAGACTTTCAATAGGCATCCTGCTTGTAGCTAATGTGTAACATGTTAAAAAACAAAACTCCTGCCATTTTTATATGGTCTGGCATAAACGTTAGAGATTTCCAGAGTTGAGATTTTTTTTCCTCCCCCTATATCTGCTATTGCCAAAGTGGAGTGTGACAGAGTGAGATTTGAATAGATGTACTAGTTTTACAACTACCCTTTACAACTTTGCTAAAAGCTCAGTTCATAATACAAATACAGGACTTCTGTAGGAGGGCTTGGCATTAACCTTAGTCAACAGTCATGGTGATTCTGCCTAGGAATTCCAACACCAAAATACTTAATACAGAACCCATAAATGTTAAGGGCACTAATGCTGGAACAGTTTAGCTCAGGACTTGTATGTTCTTGCTGATTAGAATTAGTAGGGCAAATTGCTGTTTTAACCCTTACCTCCAAAAATTGGGGGCGGTGTTAGCAGATCGATAGCTCTGCTAACAAAGACCTTAGAACCATCCTGCTGTTATAGGACAAGATAGTTCAGGAAGCCTTGGGCAAGGAGCTCTGCAGTGCTTCTTCAGGAAAAGATTGGCATGTGCTTCTAGCATCGGCCACGAACTGTGGCAGGCATGTTCTGGGGGTTTTGTCACATCTTCAAGCTGGCTGACTGTGTCTCCTTGAGAGGAGGAACACCAGCAGATGCACAAGCTCTGTCCTTTCCTGGAGTTGAAATACCAAGTGAATCCTGCTTGTCTCATGAATAAATACATTGGGGAACGTGGATGGTGCTCTGTGCTTTCCTATCCAACATAAGACAAAATATAGTACTAGATAGCAATGTTCAATCTCTAGGGTTCAGCCTCGTTGCTTTCTGTCCTGGTTGGCTGCTACCAAAATAGTCACTACATGCCTTGTATAACAGGAATTTCCCAAACTGGACTGTTGTAAGTGGCTCCCTTGTTAATGCTACTCCAAATTTGGACTTGAGTTGTTCACAATCACTTCTCTCTGGCCCTATTTTCCTTGTCAAAATTTAGGTAACTATAGTCCTTTCATAGCTTAATACAAACGCATGTTAGGGTCATTTCTCCTTTGCTGCTGAATTTCAATGTACTTGACTGCAAACCAGCAGATTATTTTGTGGAGTTTTTAGTAATACTTAGCACTTACAGTATTATACTGAAAACATGATACAAACATTCCAGCACTAGTTTAAAAAGCAAGCAACTTAAGATTTTGATTTTTCCTCTTACTGCTGTCTCTAATACTCTGCTAATTAGCAAAGATTTTTGCATAGCGAATTCCTCTTACTGCTGTCTCTAATACTCTGCTAATTAGCAAATAAATCTTCCAAGCCCACAACAGACATGCTTTACTAAACTTTCTGTTGGGGAGAACTCATTTGTGACATTTTTAATATACTTGGGTATGACACCAACCCCTCTTTCTTATCTCTTCCCACGTAATCATCATGCCACTGGTGTGTGTTTTTTGCTTTTCTTTTTCCTGCCAAATAATTATGTAAGCTTTGAAGTAATTTATAGCTTCATTATTAAAATGCAACAAGCTTAGTCAATGGTAGTTTTTATAAATTTCATTTAATAAGAAAAAACTGTTGTCTCAGCAGCAGCATCTAGAAATCCTGTCACTTGTTTCACATGTGGTTTATTTTAAATCGGGGGTCCTCAACCTTTTTCTTTGAGGCCCTCTCTCCCCAATATGCTATAAAAATCCATGGCCCACCTTTGCCGTAAACACTGTTTTTTTTACATGTGTAAGCATGGCAGTTGTCCAGGCCCCATACCACAAGGGACACTGTGAAGCTAAGTTGCTCAAACTTTGGTGTCAGCCCCACTTGATGGGATTGGGGCTCTGGGCTACAGCCCTGTGTGGTGGGGCCATAGCGAGTCTAATGCTAGCCATACTTGGTGGACCCTCTGAAACCTGCCCATAGCCCTTCGAGGGGATCCCAGACTCCTGGCTGAGAAATATGAATCTAAATTACACTGAATGGTCATAGGTTTCCCTAAATGACCCTTGATAGTCAAAGGTATTTCAAACTTGCATCTGTTTGTGGTAATGGACTTGTGTATTGGGTTACACACTGCCCAATAACCTGACTCATATCAACACCAGAAATGAAAATAATTTGTTTTTGAACTGTAATTAATGAGGCACATCATTAAAGCACTATTATTGGTGAAAGGTCCTGAGTGTTCAAATAAAACAAATAACCATCTTCGAACAACGAACATAGCTGAAGCAGGCAGTAGTTTAAATTGAGAAGTCTTTGTCTTCTCAAACCGTGAACTTTTAGAATGAAAAGTACTATGACTGAACAGACCTGAGAAGGGCATTTAAACTACAATTTTTAAAAATAAGCAAGGCTGGTAATCAGTAGACATGCATTCCGTGTTTGTCCTCTTGCCAAGTTTTTATATTTTAGTAAGATACAGAGTTGGACTTAACTTCCGGCTTTATGTGATCATCTTAAAAGGAAATGAACTCAGGAAACAAAAATGTGTCTAAACCTGAATGAGAGACTATAAAACAAGAAGTCTTTTATTCATACTTCCCTTTAGCAAGGAAAAGGAAAAAAAAAAGTAGCTAGAATAGAATTTCAATTCTGCCACTGTTAAAGTGCCTCAAGTCTCTTCTTTCTTGTAACTTTAATTTACTTAATTAACCAAATTAAAGGAATTCTGCCAAATTAATGATTGCAGGCTATTTTTAACCTATGTTAATGAAACTTTTACTCAAAATAGAATTTTAGAGATCTTGTTTACTTTCTCATTTGCTCATTATGCAGTTTTGTGCCTCTGTTTAGAGAATGAAAAGAGTGGAGTCAATTTCATTTGTTCCACAGTTGGTCTCTTTCATGGAACTGCAACATTTTAGTTGCAAGTGCTGCAGGCAGAATGTTTGTATTAAAACTTTCTATTTGACACTTTTATTTTCTGTAAAAATGTGTGCGAACCATTCTGTGCCTTTGCTTTTGGAAACTTTTAAAACTACATGTTCAGTCCTACTTGATTTCCTTCTGAATAACAGAGTATAGTTCAAACATTTTTGTGGTTTAGCAACTGTTTAGTGCTGAAATAGTAAAGTTAAAGCACCATCTAGAGCCCAAAACTGGAATTGTATGCATAAAGTAGAACTCATGTCAAGATTCTCAGACACTATTGCAGGGTGGGGAGAGGTCCAGGTGTGAGAACCTTGCAGACAGAGCAGCAGAGCCTATTTTAATAGCCTATACATTCTCTCCCTTCTGTCCTATTGTTTTAATGTATTGCTTTAAGCCTGTTCTTTTGGAGAGCTTTCCAAGGCCGTTTGAAATAATTTTCATGCATTTTTTTTACTGCTTTTTTAACAGGCGTGAGACATTTGATTTTGATGATGACTGTGACAGTTTAACATGGGAGGAGAATGAGGACACCCTCCTTCTCTGGGAAGACTTCACTAACTGCAATCCATCAATTGATCTGCCAGGAGAAGTAAGATGAGTTGTTTGATTTCCCTCCCCCCCCCCCCCCCCCACTTGTTTCCCATTTATTTCCTTTAGGGGATGGCAAACTGCAGCTTATCGTGCGTAGTCATGCTCAGCTTTTGGATCCTTGGCTGGTGATCCAGTTTGCCAGAAAACTTACTTTTATTCAGATCCTCTAACAGTTGTTGCGTTTGGCTTTCTTTCTGATACTGATCTACTCTCCATCTTGTCTATTTGCTCCTTCAAAACTTCAATATAATGTTAAATAAAATACAAGATATGTCTTCTCATGACTTATTGCTTTAAATTTTATCCTTCCCATGCTGACACTTGCTTATTATCTATTGAAGACATTTAACTACCTTTGGCTGTAAGCTCCTCCACTTAGGGGCTGACATATGTCTTTGTGAAGTACTATGTACATCTTTGGTGCTATGGAAATAATAGCCACATGTCACAGATGTGCTGATCTTGAAAACCTTGGCCATCCAGGTATTTCTATAACATTGTATTTGTTATTGTTATATGTGGTCCAGACAAAGGAGAAAGACTGGAATTAATAGGCAGGATAAGGTCTCTGAAATTTTCTGAAGTGATGGATCCTTATGTTTCCATCTCTCCTTCAGATAAGGCCACCTGTCAAGAATCTCACCAAGTTTGTTGTTAAACAGTTGCTTTCAAGTCTGTCTGTTTGAAATGAACCTAGTTGCTACATGCTTCCTCTTTTATAAATTTTTGCGAGTGTGAGGCTCTGAGAAATAAGATTTACACTGGGGGGACCCTAATGGTGTATACGTTGTTATACATTGTTATACATTGAGTAGCACGACAACTCAGAATGAGCAGGAATCTTGCCTTCCCACATCCCATCACCACTAGAATATAAAGGTGCTGAGGCAGCTGTCTCCTGAATATTGTCTTGACTGCCAGTAGTGTGTTTAATTTACATCTTTTCATTTGTGTATCCTATGGCACTTGCTGAAACTGCAGAGATTACTTAAAAGAGCTAAGACTGCATATTGCGTTATATGTCTGCTGGTGAGCAGGGATAGTGCCAGAATCATAAAATAATGTAGCTATGTGCTGGAATTAGTGACAGATAATTTGCATATAGCCATGTGTGCATGTATAAGCTCAATTATCAGTGGTATATTACAGAACTCAGACCTTCTGTGGTGTAACTCTAAAGGTTTTAAGAGGCTTAAATCCTTCTGAATGAATTTTACACAAGGAAAGGGTAGATTTGCCTTGTAGATGGATATTTTGAATAAAGACAGGCTGTTGAGTATGTGCCTTGGCTTTTTAGCATCATAGTGCTTTACATACGGGGATCTCCCCCCAGTAGATTTCTTGACACCCAAGCCACCTTCATTTGTGGCCTTCTTTTTTTAAAACTCTTGTGCATGGGGGAAAAAAAGTAAATGGGATGACTCTGGTAGATCATAGGTCCACTAGTTTGACATCGATCCCTGGCAAACTCATAGAAATGCTGATATGGATACAATATTTAAAGAATAAAGGATGGTAGTGTAATCAATGCCCATCATAGTTTTATGGAAAAAAGATTGTCAAAGTCAGGATTGATGGTATACTTGGCCTTCTGCAGGGCATTTGGTTTAGTCTTTTTGACACTGATTTCTGTGTTTTTTCTTAAAAAAAAAAAAAAAAATCAATGTTACTCATTAAATGGATTAAAAACTGGTTAACACATAGGTCTCAAAATAATTGCAAATGGGTAATTGTTATCCAATTGGGTTGTTTCTGGAGCATCCTATAGGGACACTCAGGCTGTGTCTACATTGGCACCCCTTTCCGGAAAAGGGATGCTAATGTAGACTTCGGAATAGCAAAATCCACGGGGGATTTAAATATCCCCCACGGCATTTGCATTTACATGGCTGCCGCTTTTTTCCGGCTTGGGGATAAGCCGGAGAAAAGCGCCAGTTTAGACGTGATTCTCCGGAAAATAAGCCCTTTTCCGGAGGATCTCTTATTCCTACTTGAAAGTAGGAATAAGATCCTCCGGAAAAGGGCTTATTTTCCGGAGAATCACGTCTAAACTGGCGCTTTTCTCCGGCTTATCCCCAAGCCGGAAAAAAGCGGCAGCCATGTAAATGCGTCATTATCAATGTTTTGGAAGAAAATTGCAAATAATACACGAATTGGCATGGTAAATAATGACGGGAACTGGGTGGTTACACAGCCTGATATTAACTGCATGGCGAGGAGAGTTCCTTTGAAAAATATGAACTAATAGTCAATGAGACCATTATTGGACTTTACTGTGTCTACTCCTGGTGTCAATACTTCAAAGAGAATGTAGAAATCTGGAAGGGTTATTTAAAGAGCTAAAAACAATGTAATGTCTGAAAAATACACCCTTTTGTGAGAAACTCACAAAGCTCAGTTTTGTTATCTAGGAGAAGATCTAGAGGTAATTTGATTATGGTTTTCCTACATGGGGGACAGATTTCTGATGGTAGGTGGCTTTCTAATGTCAGAAAAAACAATGGAATTAAATGATTAAAAACTTAAATTGTCTAGTTTCAGCAAGGGGGAAATTACCCTTAAGCACAGCTTATCTAGAGATGTGACATACTTCATTCAAAATATCTTTAAAGACTAGATGCCTTTCTTTAAAAAAAAAAAAAAAAAAAAAAAAAAAGTCCTAGCTCAGACAGGAGTTATGGGCTTGGTTCAGAAATGTAGTGGCTGAGATTCTGACCTGTTACACAGGTCATCAGATTAGATGATAAAAATGGTCTCTTCTGGTCTTAAAATCTATTAATACTACTTCGTACAATCTCTAGCACAGTGGGGTCCTGGTCCATGACTAGGGCTCATTAAGTGCTATGGAAATACAAGAAGGCATAATCTTGCATCTTTTTGTGCTGGTCCTCCTCTCGTGTGTGGAGACCCATTCGCTTTTTAAAAAAAAAGTCTTCCAATAATCTATCAAAATATCTCCATATTATTGGTTTTGTTTAGCACTAGTTACAGTGCTAGTGTCTGTGCAGCTCCTTGGAGCAGTAAATAAGAGTGATTAAGTTAATCTATAAACCAGATTTCCAAGAGACTTTATTTGTAAACAAGGAATACTAACACCTCTGAAAAATTATTTCAAACCATAATCTCTTCAGAATCTGCTGCTGAATGTGTCATTTAATACACTAGCATATTTCGTAATAGTAAATTCCTCTTCGCTTGGTTGTCAGGTGATGGGCATGTACGTGAAGAATCTAAGCTCCTAACGCCTATTGAAATCAAAGAGCTTTGGGCACTTTAGTGTTTTTTGAAAATTCTTCTAGTACCTAAATACCTTTTAAAAATGTGACCAATCCTGAAGCCATTATCTATAAGCAGTCATAGTGGATTAAGGGTGGAGTAGGGAGCTAGTTGTGTAATTGAAGAACTACATGATTTTGACCTAAATGAGCTATTCCATAAATGGTTTTAATCTGTCCTAACCAGCCTGTAATCATCTTCTCTAGCAGGAGGAGAATCTGGGAAACTTAATCCATGAAACAGAATCTTTCTTCAAAACAAGAGATCAAGAATATCAGGAAACAATAGGACAGATTGAGGTAAGAAAAGTATTCTGCATGAGAATTTATTCGCCATCTTAAAAATCTGTTCTGAACTTCAATACTGTGGGTACACCCATAGGCCAAATTGTGTGTTCCATTACAAATCACTGAAGATGATGGATTGTAAATATGTAACTTCAGAACTCTACCCTCAGCATCCTATCCCAGTATAGTACATCCCTCCTCTATAGTGCCATATCCTGCTTGAGACCCACTGTCGGGAATGAATGTAATGTTGTTGTAATTAGTGGATAAAGGGCAGCCCAGGCATTTATAAATAAAAAATGCATTCAGGTTTTGCCAGTTTTCTACAACATTCTCTCTTTTTGTCTCTGTGGAAAATCCCTCTCGTTGCTAAGGAATTATTTCAGAGAACACCAAGATGCACTAGTATAGCTTTTGAAGATATTTATGCTCGTTCTGTGAGTCATAAAATACAAACAGCATCTCAGACAGTTTGCAAGGTTAAGGAATCACTGTACATTAACCAACAGGATGCAGACTATTAATAGCCAAGAGCTGTTAAAAGCAGCAAAACTAAAAACTGGATTGCACTACTGGGCACAAGCTGATAAATATGGTAATCTCAGACAAGATGGAAAGTAAGGCTGCCCAGTGGACTTCACAAGGTTACTAGGGTGCTTATGTGATATTCAGTATGCCAACAACCCATAAAACTGGCCAGGACAGGGCCTTATCAAGTCACTTGTTATATGCTGACCACTATCTCTTGTTCGTGACAGCTGGAGCTAGCCACAGCCAAGAGTGACATGAATCGCCACCTCCACGAATACATGGAAATGTGCAGCATGAAGAGGGGCCTGGATGTACAGATGGAAACCTGTCGTAGACTTATCAAAGGCACTTCTGACAGGTAAATAAGATGTTCTTTGGCTCTCCTGTTCTCTAAACTCCTTCTACAGAGACACTGCCAAGCAGTTAGTAAAATACTTCCTATTGATGCGTTCTTCATTTTGGAGAAGAAGTGTTATGTGTCTTCCAAAGAGCCTTGATGTTCGCTATTGCGTTGGAAGACTTGTATGTCATTGCTGTTATCTGCTTCCACATACCCATCAATAAAATGGGGCTAGTGGTACTCAAAGTTTGTACAACACTGAGATTCTATGGATGAAAAGTGCTAGATATCACTGTTAATACTCATTAGAAAATGAACGTTGAGAGAGAGTGACATAGAACACCTTTTACCTGACTTGAGGATGGAAATTGGTCTTTTTTTCTTAAAAATGAACAGTAAGAGAGCAGTGTTTAACAGCATCACTTACTACACTGTGTATCTAAATATTTTTCTTTCTCTCTGCAGAAATTCTCCATCTCCCAGTTCTGTTGCCAGCAGTGACTCAGGAAACACAGATGAAATGCAAGATGAGTTTGACAGAGAGGTGGATGCAGAGCCTATGGTCAGCTGATAATCAGAGCATTCCAGTGAAAGGGAAAACACAGGAGAAAAAAAAGTGGGAAAAAATAGAATACTGACCGAATAAAGACTAATAAGCCCTTGCAAAGGGTTCCTGAGGACTTGTTCCGATATGCATCCCCACCCCACCCAAGGATTGGTGCTGTACATTTCTACTGTTCTACAAATTACAAATGCAGAATTCTGTAAGAAAATATGGTGTTTTAATTGTGCCTTTGCCCCAAGCTGAGCCTCTTTGAGCTCTAATGGAATATTAATAACAGGTGTTTTTTATTAAAAAAAAAAAAAAATTGGGAGCTGGGGCAGCAATCTTGCAGCAGCCGAGAATGGTGTTGCAAAAGTCTTAAGTGTTTCAGTAGGCTTATACGACTTACTGAAGCTGCACTGATTGGCAAAAGGAACACTGTGGCAAAATGAGCCGTGAACACAACACAAATTACAGTATGACAACTGCTGTTGTCTAGCAAAAAAAAAAGTGAACACCTCCAGTGAAGCTGTTAACCCCATTTAAACATAGCAGTGGGTTAGAGGCAGACTCGAGGCTCATGCAGTTATAAACTATTTAAAGAGATCTCTTTATGCCGTCTGTGTGTGTGAAAGAGACCTTTGGAATCTGCACAAGCTTAATGCCTGAGTCTAGAATCTCAAGAAGCAGTTCTCAGCTTGGTGGCAAAGCAGATGGACAGGGTACATTGGGGTGGGAAATATCACCGTTAAACTACTATGCAAAAAAAAAAAAAAAGCTCGCCTTATTTATACGGAATGTTTGGTCCCTGCTGGCTCTTGGTGGAAGGAAAGCTAAAAAACACAGTTGCGCGTGTTAATTATCCGTAAAGCTTCCTTTGTGGAGGAATGTCTGTTACAATGCCTTTATTTTCTGGGGTGGAATTAGAAAGGGATCAGCCCTTCAGTTCCTGATTTTTTTTTTTTTCCTTCCCCTCTTCCCCCAGTGTATATATATGTATTTTTAACCATAATCATCACAGGTCTGTCTTTACTGTCTGGGAGATGAGCAGCATAAAATACAGTTTCATGAGCATCATGGTTGAGGCATCAGGGTAAGCTGACACACAGTGTTATAGATGTAGACTTGTGATGTGACATTAGAGATGACTGTCCTTTGGAAAACCTGAAAATCAGAAAATAGTGTCCTCCTTTTTAGGGCACAGTAAAAGGAATCCCAACATACTCCTGCTCTGGAATTAGGGAATAACAGCCATGTGCTTTCTCTGTGAGAAAGCAAGTAGCCCTAGGCCTTAGGTGTCTGTTCCTCTATTTTTTAAACCAGAGAAAGCAGCATCAAAAGTCTAATGAATTTACTTTCTATTCAGGGAGCTGGTGGTGTTCTTGGTTATAATTAGAAATTGTCACAACTCAGCCAAGACACAATAAGAATGGAAACCCGACTATAAGCAAGCAGAAGACAATACAAGATTGGTTCGCAGGCCACTGTTGAAGACACTATTAATGGCTTGTAGCAATAACTATGTAGATAGTGACCATTTTAAGACTGGGGCTAAATTTCAAATTATGACTTCTCCCCTTTCATGAAACTCCTCCCACAGGTCTTTGAAAATGCTAGGGGTGGAAGTTGTTTTCTTCCCATATTATTTCGTAAATATTGGACAAAGAAATGTTAGGTTTTAGCATCCACTCGATTTTAAAGTGCTAAGATGGCCATTGTTCTGTATCCATTAACTTAAAATAAAATGAGGGGAATGGCATTGTGAGCAAACAAAATCCAGTACACGTCAAAGTGCTGCTTTCTCCATAACCGAGCACAAGTTTCACTAAAGTAGTGTCTGTATTAGGCAGAAAATGCCTATTGGAATTTTGCACAACTTGCTTAACTTTGGGGGCAGTGTAATCCTGACAGATTCTTGCTTGTAGAGTAGCTTTGTGTACAGTACCATCTTGGGGGTGTCTATACTGCTGTGGAGGTCGATCTTCTGGGGGTCATTTAACAGGTCTAGTGGGGACATGCTAAATCAAATGCTGAGGGTGCCCCCGTTGATGCTGGTACTCCTTGCTGTTGTGAGGAGTAAGGGAAATAGATGGGAGCAGTTCTCCTGTAGACTTCCCACAGTGAGGATGGTGCCCTAGCTCAGTTTAAGGTAATTCGACTCTGGTTCCATGCACTGCTGCCTGTAGTTTTTTCATTGCTATTCCTGTTGAGTTTCCTGCAGCTGACTGCTTAGACCCAGATTGAATTTTGTGGGCCATCAGAACCATCTGAAACAGATGACCCCACCATCTTTCCAGGTGGGAAGAACTACTGTGATGAGACCCTTCTGGATCCGCAATGTGACTTAAATTACTCCCATCCATGAAAACTGTAATGCAAGGATATGCTATTAATTTTATTTGCTGTTTGAAACATTCAAGCCATTATGCATACATCACTTGTTAAGAGCTCTCTTATTCATCATACTGTACCTCAGTGGCCTTTCTACAATGTTTCATTGTGTGTCATTTTGTGCTTAGGTCTCCCTCTTTTTTTTTTTTTAAAGTAACCTGTATTCCAAAGTGCTCATTCTTAGCATCTCTTATTTAGCCAAAGCAGTAAATGATGTTCACAAAGAGTTGGGTTTGTGTGGTGGGGGTGAAAAATACATGTCTGTCATGCCCTTTTTGATAAGGGAGCGGGACTCCATGTTTTCAGTTAAAGTATTTTTAAGGTTACCAAGCCTCTTTGAATCTCAGCTGCTAAATATATTCGGTTTCTCAAAAGGTCGAGACACCGCCTGCCAAAGCTGTACATTTGTAGTTAGTACTCCAGTGACTTTTGAGGACACACTGTCTCCTACAGGAGCAAACTCCTCTTATAAACAGCCTTCCAGGAGGCTTCCAATCAACTCTCCTCTGACTATGAAAACCTCTTTTGTAGTGGAGAAGTTGAGCAGTTTAAACAGCCGTCCTACTTAGCTGCTACTTTCTTTGTAAAATGCAGTGTCTGCGAGGAGAGTGGTTCAGTGTTTTACTTTTAATGGTTGGTATGTCGAGGCAGGGAAATAGAAGAGAGTGTCCTGTGTTTAATAGAGTGAGTGCTTGAGGAAGCAACCCTTAGTTGATACAAGTAACCTACAGTTCATCTCATAGCTATAATTATGAGGAGCATCTGTAATGAGGTTGCACTGTTTGCAAGTGCAAGAGGTGGGGATACCTGTATAGTAAAGAATAAGAAATAATGTGTATGATGATGAAATGTGTATGATGGTAATAGCGATGAGCATGGTTGTTGTCTGTTTTTTCTATAACCATATGTAATCCATTTTTAAAATTTGTCTTGATACTTGGGTTTGGGGTTATTTTAGTCAAGGCAGTGACTTGATAGCTAATGGGGTCAGCCCCATGTCAGTTAATGAGTCGATCCATGGTCATTTTCCCATGAGGTTTTTTGTTTAGTTTTGTTTCAAATGATGCTGCTGATTTTAGCTGACAGTGGTCCCATTTTTGTTTGTATTTATCACGTCTTTAGTGACTAGATCAAAAGCTTGCCAGAAGAAAAATTGTGAAAATGCTGGAAATCATTTTGATTACCTCCTTTTTCCTTTGTAAAGCTGTAAATACTTTTTTTATTTTCTATTCTTAATGCAGTGTCATATTGACACTTTTTTAGAATTATCAGAAAATCCTCATCATTGGTTTTTTCTCATATTTTTTAAAAAGAGGATTTCAAGAAAGCAAACTTTTTTGCTTGTTAGCAGTGTAATAAAGTAAATTCATAAAATGGGTTTGTACACAAATAGTGTTTTCAGTGACTAAATCTCAGTGCTTTTGTGGTTGCATGTTCTTCAAAAAGTCCAAAGAATCCTGTGGTACAAACATTTTTCAATGATTTAATAAATACCACGTTAGGTCAGGCAAGAAACAAGGAATGGAATTTTTTGTTTAAGTAAAGGTTGATAAATGCAACTAAAGAAAATGTGTAATCTATTTATAAATAACACCAAATATTCTATTTTATTAATTTTTTTTTAAATTCATAAACAGAAGTCAGCAAATACAGGTCTTCCTCTGTAAAGTATTCTCTGCTTTGATGGGACTCTAAATTCTCAGTGCTTTCAAGTAACTGCAATGAAAAACAAATGTAACTGGTGTGGCTGGCTGTGAAACATTCCTCCCATCTCTTCCTCATAGCAATAAAAACATTTGTTGTGGATGTTACTGTAACTGCAGAATTATTTTCTCTCATCTTCACTGATTCCTGTGTATTCTGAGAGGCTGAGCATAGACTGACATCTGTGTTGCTTACCACAAATGATACTTCAGATGCAATTTTTATATTTAAAACTTTATCTAAAGATTTGTATTTTACCCTCTATCAGGGTAGAATATACTAAGACTGCAATTCAAATGGGGAAGGGGGGAAGCCAATTGCCAATTTCTTTGCACCAGTATAAATAGGGAGTAATTCCATGCACATTGTCTGAGGGATAACCAGGTTAGTTTGTATCTGCAAAAACAGAGAGGAGACCTGTGGCACCTTAAAGACTAACAGATTTATTTGGCCATAAGCTTTCATGGGTAAAACCCACCTAATCAGATACATGAAATGGACCTAACAAAATGTGTTTGTGTTTTGTGGTTGTTTTTAGGTCCATTTCATGTATCTGAACAAAATGTGTTTGTGTTTTGTGGTTGTTTTTTTGTTTTTTTTTAAAAAACCCACCAAAACTTATGCCCATATAAATGTTGGTTTTTAAGGTGTCAGATCTCCTCATTGTTCCATGGAAACTATATGATTTGGAGATCAGAATCTTTCTGTATGTAGGAAGGCTTTTCAGACCTTTTGCAATTTCTGTATGGTAAAAGGAAATACTAAAAACACATTCCTACCAAAGTTGAAATTCCCATGGTCAGTCTGACTTAGGGCTGGTCTACAATGCTGCAGTAAATGGATCCAATTTACACAACTTCAATTATATGACTAACATAACTGAAGTTGATTTTGTTAGATCCACTTACCGCAGTGGCTATCCAGTGCTGTTGATGGGCGAGTGTCGCCTGTCAACTTCCCTTACGCTTCTTGGGGAGGTAGCATACACAAAGAGATGGGAGAGTGTTTACCTATCAATTTAGTGTGTCTTTACCAGACTCGCTCAATCAACACTCGCTGAATCGATTGCAGCAGTTCCATTCTATGGGCAAGTGAAGGGTATGCCCTTAGCTGAGTGAGTGACCAAACAATTGATGGTACAGGGTGCTTACAGCCATGCCACAAATACCCATAAACCTGTTGAAATTAAGCAAAAACCTGCTTATGCTTTCCTTATTTCTATCCCTTGGAAAGATCATATTGATGGAAGAATGTTTGTACCTAGAACATGTAGTGAAGAACATCTTAAATGAAAGATTTCTGACAGTGCTTCATTTTTGTGAATGCTACATTTTTGAGCAGCATAATGTTTGAAGGGGTGTGCTGTTGTCTAAACTCTTAATGCTATTAATGCTTATCACAGTGGAAAACTTTAAAAAGGTCTTTCACCTAGGCTGTCTTATTGAAGTTTTAAACTCTTCTTGGATACTAATGCTGCCCAAGGATTCAAAGTAATATTCAGGTCATTTTTCACATTTTGTTTCTAAACTTTCATTGAAAGCTTCTGGTGCACTAGCACAGAGACACAATGTTTGGATTGTAGACACAAAGATGACCTTTTAAAATGTTCCTTTGAAATTATATAAAAATCACAAACATTTGCCCTTAAGTTTTTTATCAAATCTTATTTTTACAAATTGTAGACAAGCTTTGGTTTTATAGGTTTTTATATCGGAGGTCAGGGAGGAGCACTAGATGTCAGACCCCAAACCATCAAGTATGCAGGCTTGTACTCAATACCATTTTTAAAAGTGGCAGATAAGTCTTTCAAGTTCAATCTTAGACGTTAGCTCCTTACTTGATCTTCAGTTTCCCTTTTAATATGTCTTCACATGCATTGTGCATAGCTTTGGGGTCTTGAGTCCCTTGTAAAGTAGCCTTTCAAAAAGCTAATATTTGAAGGAGAGATTTTAAGAGGCTGGATGAAGTTGACTGCTTATGAGGCCCTCAATGCTTTTAAAAGAGCAGGTCAGGTCTCCTTATCTGTGATCTGTGGCACTCCAATAATGAAGCACTTTCACAAATGAGATACTATTTGAAATCTGAATAGGTCTGTTTTTTCAGGCAGGCAGTGATGCCAACATCAGAAAAACTGCTTTAAGAAAGTTACATTTCCCACTTCATTGGAGTACTTGTCTAAAGATTTGGAAACTAAATAATTCCCATACACATACCATTGTGCTGCAGATCTGGGTCTTGTTTAGTTTGCTGGCTGCCTGAACTGACAGAAGATTTAATCTTAAATCTTGTTCTAGAAATGTTGAAGATGGTTTAAAGCTTGGACACATAACTGCACTTCCTTTGTAATAGGGTTTCACTGAAAGGAATATGCAAAATTGTCTGTCCCTTGGCTTAAAAAACTTAGCTAAATTTTGCCAAAAATGGTATTTATTTTTAGTGTTTAAATGGGAGACAATTAACTCCTTTCCATGCCATGTCACTTTGTGTCTGTTATTCTTTGGATTATATAAGAGTTTTTTTTAATACTCATTAAAACAGACTACTATTCAGAGTGGAATTGAAACTGTTTACTGTATTGTTGTAAATATTGTGCTTTATATTCTGTATATTAGCTTATTTTAAAAGGAAAAATGACTTAAGTGATAATGCTATTTGATCTCTGGTAAGGAAAGATCCAAGGATGAACCAATTCCTAAGCTTGCTCCAGAAGAGTCATGGTTTCTTGCCTGAGTTCAGTTTTGAATGGATTGCCCCTCTGTTTGGAAGTCTGTCATTAAGTTTTAAAAGCAGACCAATTGGTTTATAGACGATCCAAGATTTTTGAGTTCCCTGTTTTGAAAGGAGTACTAGAAACCTGCACAGCAAGAGCCTAAAGTGTTTGAACTGTTGAGGTAATCTATTGGAACTTGTATTTCAAATATTAGTGCCAAAATCTAGTGACTGTATAGTGTTTGTTTTTCTTGTTCTCCCTTGAAAGGGCAAAAGTCCAATCACTTGTCTGCCTCCATTTTTCTCAACCATCCTGTGCTGTAACACTGCTCTTCCAAGAAGCATTGTGATATTGGTTCATCCTTCCACTCTTGATTTTTATAGAAATTCAACTATGAATGTTTATTTCCAAGTCACGTACCAAATGGGCTTCTCTGTGAAAAGGGGATGTTCTGAAGCTCGTTGATGAAAACGGGTTACGGTAATTGTCTGGTTACAAGGAAAAAACCCTTAAAATAAATGCCAAACTTCCTGGTTGTCTGTTTTTTGTGTATCAGTTATTGTCTTCTAACACTGTTCTTCCAAGACACCCAACATAAATCAGCTAAAGATTTCCCTGGAACAGAAACTCATTAGCATGGAGTTACTCAGTCCTTCAAAGGAAAGGGCCCCTCCATGTCATTAGTAGTCCCTTCCCAATTGGTCTAGTGTTGGAGCTACTTTCTATCTTTATACTGTTCTGGTAAATAGCCTTTAAATTTTAAATACTCTCTAAGCGAAACAAAAATCCCACTGACTTAAAGCAACAACAGGCCATAATGTTGAAGTATTTCTGTTAAATTCCTCCTGGTTGCTCTGCTGCTGATTCCTGTGCAAAGTTAGCAAGACTCTGACCCTTTTACTTTTCAAGTGTGTCCTATTTTTAAAGGACAAACAAATATCTAAAAGAGTAGGCAAGCTCCTCTTAACCACTTAGAAGTACATGGATCGTGCTGGTGCATAAAAATTAATCCATCTGTATTTTATGTTCTCTAGTCTCCCTCCTTTCCTCCCTCCACACCCACACTTTTTTCCCTCCTCCTTTGGACCCTACTCATTCAGGAGAGAGAACTGCATAACTGATGGTGAATTAATTCATTTCTCTAATGTTTTTTCTACTGTTGTGGATTAGTAATGGCAAAGATGGCAGGAAAATTCAAGGCACTCTTGTTTTCACATGCATGTGAATTTTAAAGTGTCCACACAGAGAAGGGAATACTTTAGAGCCAAAATATAGCTGTAAAGGGACACCAAGAATGTAGTTAAATTTATAACAAACTAGCCTAGGTGCCTTGTCAGTTACCAAAAAAAAAAAAAAATGACTGGAATCAGCAGTTGACCTTATGTGTAGCTTGACTTCCACCCCAGCCGAAAAAGGGAAAAAAAGTCTAGTAGATCCCAGGGTGCTGGTGGGGGGAGGAGTTGCAGAGAGGGCCATCCAAAAGGGCATGGAGGAGGCAGGAGTGGGCACCCATTTCAAATTTTGGAGGGGACATTGGGATGATGCACTTCCTGAGTGCTCCTATGAGTCACCTATGTCAGGCCCCCCCCTTCTTCCTCAAAGCTTGAAGGGGGAAAAAAAACAGGCTTTGTGTAAAGCCTGGAAGCTGTGGTTGCTTTGGGTTTTTTTGTTTTAATCTTTTCAGAGGGGGAGATGAGCAGGAGTTTGTTAAAATTCCTCTGGCGGAGGAAGAGATTTTTCTTATTTTAGGTGAGGTCAGCTGAGAGCTCCTCTCAAAATATTAAACAAACAATGGAATCCCCTCCGCTGGCTCCTGGCTCCACACAGTAACTAATGGTGAACATTAACTGGCTGTTCTAGACTCAAGAAGTCCAAGATTTTCCAAAATGACTGGTGCTTTTGGCTATCTGGTTTGAACAATCAGAAGAGAGAGATCTTCATGGTGAAGGCTCAGCATTTGTTAAAAATCAGGCCTCTCTCAGACATCTCAAGATACCTAAAGTGACCAGTTGCTTTTGAAAATCAAACATTTGTCCAATTATGCCATGTTAACCGGAAACCCTGTTTTCATATAAATGTTTAAAGAGCTCAGTAACCATGGGAAAGTACCCAGGTAACTCATGGGAACACATTGTATGCGTGGGCAGCCAGTTTGCTCAGATTCAAGGTGCCATTAATATTTTGATACATACAGTTGTTTTAGTGTCTATTTTTTGTTCCCTTAAATGGGGACCTGGGGGGGGGGGTTGGTGCAGTGTAAAGCTGAGAAGCTTGAGGCCTTCCACCCCTTTATTTGGTCTTCCCAAACTCTCCCTTTCCCAACCCCACACATTTCGTTGGGGTCCCCCAACTCTGCCTTCTCCAGGCTCCTGAGTGACCCTTTAAAGAACTTTGCTGACACCCCTCCCAGCGTCGGGTTGCAACATGAAGTAGCAACTGATTGGTCAGAAGACCCCAGCGTTATAACTTGATTGGCTGATGCAACCCCGCCCTAGGAAGGAACGGACTGCACCATGTGCTGGGGGGGGATAGGGTTAACGGTTCCGTATACGACCCCGGGCGAATGGACGTGTGGGGGGGTTAGGACACCCCCCCACTCAGCAGCTGCTCGAGATAGCTCCGCTGGATGCACTCACCTAGAAAGTGAGGGCGGAGAGAGGGGGACCGCTTGGGAGATGGAACCAGCCCTCCCTGCTCTGGAGATGGTACAACCCGGATCGAGGTTTCCCCGCTCGGCGTGCGCTGCTGGAAGTGTCCGATCCGTCCCGCTGCCCCAGAGGCGATGCTGCGGAGAGCGCTGCTGGGCTGCCCCCGCCCTGGGTGAGTGGGGGCGGGGAGTCCCCGGGGCTGGGA